CTCCTCAGTAAGAAATTTAACTTTTTTAGTTAATTTCTACCTAATTAAATTTCTACAGTAACTCAATGATTTAATTATTTCATTTGTTCATCTTACTAAGAAGAATTGTTTCAAATATGTTAAACTTTTTAAACTACGCAAAACATAAAACGGGTATTGAAAAAACTTTTTTATTTATCATAAAAAAATCATTTAGCGTTAGTTTTGTTGGTTGAATCTTGTTGGACTTTTCAGGGCCGATAAAAATGACTAAAAAAATACCAAATGGTCCACTTGACTATTTCGCGGCCCCAAACATTGTGAGTCCCGGGGCTATAGGTCTTCTTCGCCCCCTCCCCCCTCCCAATGAATTTTAGTCGGCAAATTTAACTCTTAGTCGGCAAAAGTTGTAATGGCACCCCCCACGTGATACTACTCGCGTCGGTTTGACGCAACTAAATTTTATTTCCGTGATCAATTATCGATTGCGATCGCACCCGTTTCCCGACCAAGCCTGAATAAATATACATATATATATTACTTTAGACTAAAATTGCTTCATTTTTTATACGAGATTCTACATTTATTATTTTTGTGATTAAGATTGTGCCTGAAGGTAAAAATAACTTGGTGCATTATAGTCTAAATTTTTTATTAAATCAAAAACAATGTAAATAAATTTTGTTTTATATTTTTAATAAACAACTTATATATATAATCTTATAAAAATGCATGGATATCAATAAATCTTAATTTAAAATAAAGTCTTTGATTAGAAAAGGTCATAATTTGTAAAATTATTTTAGGTTGTTATTGTAACAGTAGTATAATCACTGGTAATATGTTTAATGATAACAGATGTATAGTATTAGGCTCAAAGAAGTTATTAGTGTAAATGGTAAAAGGCTACTTTAAAAAAATTGTTGTCAAATGAAAAAGATAAATCTAGGCATGATGAAATTAATTATCGTTGAAATGTAAGAAATTCTGCTCGATGAACAGAAAACTTACTTGCCAGAATCAGTGTCAAGCTGTGTTAATGTCTAATAATTTGATTTTACATTAGACACTTTAGAACAAAGCAAAGTATGAATTTCACTATTTATAGTAACAATTAACAACAGCTTCAAATTTAAATGATTTAATTTTTTTTTGTAATCTCAATTATAATTTTTTTTTTTAGTTGTCTTAGTTATCACTTGATTATTTTGTTTACTGTTGAAACATGGTTTTAATTTTGTAAATTTAATATGATATGAAATACTATATTAATCATTAGTCAACAGTTCGAGAGAAGCTGGAACTTAATTAAGATATGCTAGAAATTAACTTTTAGTTAAGATTAAAATAATTTTGTATATTGGTAGCATAATAAAACCAGTTACTGTTATTTATTGCATGTCTTTTTTACTTTTTTTAACAAGCTGCTTTTGAAACACTTCCTCTCTCTCTCTCTTAGATGAGACTTGAATGAGAGTTATTACAGGGAGAATTGATAAAACTCATGTAATTACTGAGCTCTTGCGTGTTTTTTAATACTACAATTGATAATGACAATTTATAAGATATATTTCACGACTTGCTTGCTATTTTAAGTCAAACTTAAAATATTATTTACAGATGAATTTTATTGAATTATATTTTTTAAATAATATATCAAGTTATTAATGTGTTTTTATTGTTATTAATAATTTAATTACTTATAACCCGTATTACTGGTTGCTTACTGCTAGTACTATAAAATTAATATATTTTTAGTAAACCGACTAAAAAAAAAGTTTTTTTTTAGTTAGACTTGAAAATTAGTCGATTAATTTTAGGAAACTAAAAAGGTTAGTCGACTTGTTTTTGGATAACAAAATAGTTGGTGGACTAATTTTAGTTACCTAAAAAGTTAGTCATCTAGTTTTAGTATCGGTTTTGTTAGTGTTACTATTTTTAGTTTTGTTAGCTTGTTACTATTTTTAGTTTTTGTACCACACTAATATGTGATGAAGTTAGCTATAAGAAAAAAAATTTTAAGTCAAATTATGGCAATACTTACTAAACCCTTCCCATCGCGAACCCGTATTTTTGACTGGGGGCGGACTAAGTTACGAAAAATATAAAAAATGTCTGAAAAAGTTAGCGAACTAATCCATTATTTTTAATTAGTTTACTAAATTTTAAAAGTATTGTATTAATGCACAAAATGCCTATTGCAGTGTTTATTAAATATTATCAAACTTTAATGAAAACATTTTGAAAAAAAAAGAATTAAATACAATATTTTCCAGAATAATAAGTTGTAATTATTTAAAATCTAAACCACAAAAACCACAAAAGAATGAACAAACTTTAAAATAATGCAAATGAAATAAAGAAATAACATCAAAAAGTACATCAAGAAAAAAGAAAAGATCAGTAAAATATACATCAATAATGTTATAAAAAAATGTACATATAATTTTTCAATATTATACAGATAACTTTAAAACCTTCAATGCAAGTTGCTTATTGGACTTTAGTGAAAAAAGCAAACAATAATTTTTATGAAATATGTTTGATAATATTGTACCATTTTCTTTTAACGTTAAAGTTATAAATATCAGATATTATCATAAAAGTATTACACAATGACTTTCTGCACATTTTGTTTTTCTCAATTTAAAAAATAATGAAACAAAAAAATACCCACTGCACACAACAATCAAGAGGTATTTTCAATCCACCGCGGTCCATAATTTTTGTACTGACTCCGTATAACTGAAAATAAAACGCAGTATCATTAAACAAATCATTTTCACTAACATCTTTTCTTGTAGCATAATCTGCTATATAGAACAAAGCCATTTTTGTACTCAAAGACAAAGATGAGTCTCGTTCAGGTAATTGATTGATGATGTCATGAGATTCTTTACTTATATAATAGCCACATTTTTGACAAGAATGCTTGATATCAATAGCATTATCTGTAACATCAACTTTTAATTGCAATAACAGTTTAGCTTTCTCAATGTTTAACTTTTCAACAACATTTTGAACTGTTATAAAGTGTGTTCCACCTGACCCTTGCAATAAATAAACTTACTGAATTCTTTTTCAATGTAATCTGTTGAAAACTCTCCAAGCATAACGTAATCGAAAATTGTTTTTTAGCAAATATTTACACATCTCCACAAATCCATAACATATATGCCAAATTGAAGCACCTGTATCTTTAGTTAAAAATTTCATTCCATCACTTTGTTTGCCATTCATTTTAAATGCAATATCTCCAAAATCAAGTAAGTACTGCAAATATAAGTCTAATTCTTCAGAAATAATTCTCTTAGGAGAATTAAAAAATCAAATATCACCATAAATTTTTTTCACACATACAATTTTCCAAAATTTAGTAACTTTTTCTAAGGAAAATAATTTTATTCATATTTCAAGGGTGAATAACTTTTGAATAAGTTTTAAAAGCAGCTATAGTTTCATCGCAAAATACTCTTAAACAATGTGATATTTTTTGCCTTTCAATGGGTTTTGGAAAAATTTAGTCCTAATAACTTAATTAGTTGATCTTTCTCAAAATCAAAGATACATTTACTCCACTTTGCAGTAAAATTTTGGTCCTTTCAAATTGTAGTTCCTGCTTTTTTTTCTGTAACCCAGTTATTCCTAATATTTTTTAGTAGATGAACATAATCAAAAAGTAGGTAAAACATTTTGAAAAACCGTTTGAAGGAAAACCGTGGTAAACATTTTTTTTACCACGGTTTTCCTTCAACTCTCTCAAATAACTTATAAAAAACTTGCAATTTGAATTTGCACACTGGTACCATTCTATATTTTAACTTGCTGTAGTTTCGCCCAAAATTTTTTTCGCACTTTTTACACTTGAATTGGTTTGCAGCTAATATTTTCGTCGGACTTGTTGCTTGGTTTATTTGCTGTTCTTCAATAGAGCTTAGCTAATGTTATTTTTTAGCTTGCTTTGCTGCTTTTTTGGTCTCAACATCTTTTAACCTTTCAAGTATTTCACGTTTGTTGAGACAATCCCCTTCGAATCTTGACACATATACATTTTTTCTTTTTTGTGTTGGTTACAAAATATTTGTTGCTAAGCTGCTGCAAGTGATCAGGCTGATTGCAGTTGTTTTGTAACCTCTTTTTGAATTTTGTTTTGAATAACCTACAGCAATACTACAATATTGAAGGTTGTTTGCAGACAAGGTGACTGCAACAAAAGAGTATTTGTATTTATTTATTTATTAGCGTATTTCATTCAACCCTACAACATTCTGTTTCCGTTTTTAACTCATAACTTTTTTTCCTAAACAGCTAAATTTAATTTTGAAAAAAGATTCTTGATCAGGATAAAAAGCTGTACCAGTAAACATTTTAAGTTAAATGATACCGAATTTAATTTCCGATAGTTTTAAGTTCCTTTTTCAAACAAATATAAAAAATCTTATTACACATTGATTAACTTATAAATTTATAACAAAATTTTTTTTATTAAAATAAAATTTTATACAATTTTACTCAGAAAAATATTCTCTACAATATAATCAAAAAATATTTGTAAAAAAATTATTCAATAGTTAATTAAGATCGAAAGAATATCATAACTTATAAAATAGAATGTCATAACTATTTTATTCTACCCGCTATTTCATTTTACCCTGTTTTACTCTAAAACATAAAAAGGTTTTACTTGTTTTTTTAAAACAATTAGCTCTAGCTTTTAAAATTTTTTGTTAGAGTTTTTAGAATTTAGTTTCAATTATTCTAATGGGAATTTAAATGATACGAAAAATTTGGATTAACTTTAATTAAATATTTTAAGTTTTGCTTTAAACAAAGCAAATATCACAATAATGTAATATTTTAACGTATTTAATTAAATTATTTTGCACAGATTTTTGTTTAATTGTTTAATCTTTTGTTAAATTGAATAAAAAAGTTAAATCTTAAACCGATTCTATAGTTTTAAAATTTTTTAGAAATCCTATCTTTAAAATCTTTAATATGAATTAACAATGCAATAATTGATAAAGTGCTTGATTATAAAAACAGTGTGAACTTTATGCGTGAGCTGACGTTTGAAAGATTTTGACAAACTATTTTGGAAAAGGAAATTGCAGTTAAAAAGTGTTTCAAGTAGATTATAACACTGCAACTGTTTTATCTATTTTAGAATGGAAGTTAACAATCAAGATGTAAGGACTTTTGATTTTTTGGAGCTGAATTGAGATTTAAGATGATAAATGCAATATATTCAAAGAAAATAATGGGGTCAATAGACAACAACCACCTAGGATTGGTTGGTTGTTAACTGATGACCGTTTTTTCTTTCTACTTTATTTTGCTTTAAATTTTTATTCTTTCAATATTTTCATTTATAAACCTCTTTTGTTTTCGCCGCGACTTGCGATAATATTGCAATGATTGTTTTAACGATCTTTGAGTTAGATAGTGCAGGTTTCGCCAGTTTAGTTAGTGTTACTTGGATATGGCAGCACACAATCTAATTATATTACTGTTTAACTGCTAGATTTGTCACACCTAAATATAATATTACATATGTAGCACACTTGAATGAGTCTCACATAAGACTTGTATGCATACTAAAACATTTTGAAAGTGCTACATAGATATGACTGCAGAAATTACCTATCATTGTTCAAAATCCAAACCTAAGTATGTTTATGCTTATGCCAAATCAAGATATTTTGAAAAGAGTTGCAGTGACGGAAGCCTAGTAACAAAAAAAAAAATATCTAAGTATTTGACCTTCCACGCAAAACGTGATGGCAGCAATTTAGTAAACTTTTAAATATTAACACCTTATGCTAAATTTAAATTCATCAATAGATTTTGAATTTCATTCAAAATCTTGCAACATGCAAAATTTTTGTTTCTAGATTTTTGAATGAAATTTATATCCTTTCTTCTATCCTTTTATTCTCAACTGAAAACCGCAATCTATTTTTATTTATTTTAGCTTATTCAAAGCTTTTCACAGTTCATTTGACTAAAAGACATATTTAGAACGTGTTTATACACCAAGAATAAATTGATAAATGCCATCAAATAAATATTAAATATTTATATAAAAGCTTACAAAAACAAATTAGGCAACTAAAACATTTGCTAGTTATTTCAAGGAGTGATTTTTTTAATGTGCATATTATGCATATAAACACAGCTGAAACCATTAACAATATATGTTAAATAAAATAAATTAATGTTAAATAAATGTAGGTAAGATATAATCAAGTGATTAATAAAACAATTTATAGATTATTTAGAATTTTTTTATCCTCATATTCTTAATCAGTGCCTCATCAGCACCCTCAGTACCTTGATTAGTACCCCATCAGTACCCTATCAGTACCTTATCAGTACTCCATTAAGAAAATAAACTAAGTTGTGCATATCGTAATATGTTCACATATATGTATCATAGTAGCAAACTGGGGTATAATTGGGTACTTAAGGAAAAGTCATCAAAAAACTGTCAAAAATAATTAAAATCAAAATAATTTTGTTTTAAATGAAAAGAGACAACAAAAACTACGATCTGACAAAAGAAAATGCCAATAACATTGAAAAAAAAAAAGTTATTCAACATTTAAAAATCTATGAAAAAAAACCATTTTGCCCCAAGCTAGGGGCAAAATAGGGTATACAATGTAACAATAACATATGTTTTAGAATTTATTCAATGTTTAGACATATAAAGTTCACAAATAAATTTTAGCCGTTTATATTTCTCTTCTAAACCAGTACAAGAGTAATGTGCCCAGCTGTGGAAATCACTACAAGAAACACAACTTTCAACACTAATAGAGTAATTTTCCTGACAGTAGAGACATGAACTGTTTTCCTCTGAATTTTTGACTGTTTTTTTCTTTTTAGATGCAGTGTTTTGTCCATCTACTTCAGCTTTTTTTTTTTATGATGCATAATCATTTTGGTTAGTCATTTTGAGCTTTTTTCCTTTTTTTTGAAGAATTTGGCTCGTTTTTACTCAGGGTGTCTAATAGCGAGGCTCTATATGGAGAAGAGATCAGGATTGCAGTTTTTCCTCTCTACCTTGATAATCTCCTTTGCAGTGACTACTTTGGTATTGAAATAATAAGACTTGGAGATACATTTTGAAATGATGTGGTATTAACATTGCTCGTAGAAGTGGTTAAAATGCTGGAAGATGTGGATATTATGCCGGTAAAATCAGATGATTGGCTTGTAGAAGCAATTGTGTTGCTGTTAAAAGCAGATATTTGGATTGCAGGTAACATTTGATGACTGGTACTTACAGATGGATGGCTGACAGAAGCACAGAGGTTGCTAGTAACAGCAATGTCACATGTATCAGCCACAGGGTTTGTTTCAATGAAACTAATATTAGTAGTTTTTGCTGCCAGAAAGTCTGCTTTGGAAAAAACATTTCTATTAACTGGCCATATGCCAGCTTTTTAAAAGCCATTAATAGCATTTGTCATTGTTGCAGCTTCCAGGTAGGCTGAGCCAAAAAGTGCAGCTATTTGAAATTGAGTGACCACGCCTCCAGGATTTATTCTCAACCATTTCCTAATATTGTGGTCATAGTAAGTGCTAAGTGGCTTCAATTAGTAAGTCATAGGGCTTCACATAATAAGTGTTTGACATAGTAAGTGCTTCACATAGTAATAGTTTGGAGGCTTTACTCAAAGAACTAATGGTGGTGCTCCATCCATTAATCTGGCTTTATTCGTTTACGAGGAAAGATTATCATGGGTGGCATGTACCTCCCACTTGCTGAAGAGCAAATAACGGCTGTGACAAGCTGACCCCTAACAGCTGAAGTGAGAGAATCAACTTGTTTTTTCCCTTTGGTTGAAACAATTTTAGAAAGACACTTTCGAACTGTAGAAATACCTGTTTCATCACAATTCTAGATATTTTCAACATGTAGCTTGTTTGTACCCACAACCTCTTCCAGTAAAGAAAAAAATAGAATCCACAGCCACTTGGTTAAAGCCAATGGCACGAGCAGTTGATGTAGCCTTCGGTTTACGAAGTGAAAAGTGTTTGGAATGTCTCTTCATAAAACCTTTATACCAGTCATAATCGGCAATGCCAAAGTCGTTATTAAAACTAGGTTTCTTATTGTTTTTAAATGCCGGTTCATACGCTAACTTTCTGACCTCAAATGAGCTAACTCCAAAAAGCATACTTTCCATCAGCTGAATGTGTATAACAAGTTCATTTTCTTCCTCTCGGGTGAATACTGTTTTGAAAGCACCTAGAGTTGAAATAGAAAAATACTAATTTAACCACCTCAAATTTAATTAGAAAACATTTATAACATTTTTTAAATATTTGATAATTTTGTGTAATTTTGTATAAGACTATAATACTGTATCATAGCCTAACACCAAAAGATTAAATGTGTAAAATAGGTAACAAATGTATTATAAACATAACTTTTCAAAGGGAATAATATTGATTATGTTTTAAATACATTGTATCTATACTGTAAATAAATAAACAATCATTTGAACTTTCTCTTTTCACATGCTTTTTTAATATCAGGATTTTTTCGAAACTTTTTTACTCTCCTTTTAACGGTAGTTTGTGGTACATATACACCTTGGCAGCTTTTTTATATACTTGATCATTGTTTATTACGTAGAGAATTGTTTGTTGCATGACACTTTTACTCCATGTCTGTCGATTTGATGTGCGTTTATATTATTATTATTATTTATCTTGAAAAACAGTTATTATTTATATAAGAAATTTTTTAACAAAAAGTACAAAGTATGCTAAAGTAAAAAGTTTTCTAGTATAAATTTTTATAATTACTGTTACTGTTACTTACTATTACTGCCCTGTTCTTAAAGAACACTGAGCATGCTATTTGTATAATACACCAACATAATTTATATATATATATATATATATATATATATATATATATATATATATATATATATATATATATATATATATATATATATATATTATATATATATATATATATATATATATATATATTGTAGGAATAATGTTATATTTCCAGTAAGAGTGCTCAATACAGCGTTTTATATAATTAGTAGAGCAAATAATATAGTGAAAACTAAATAATTATTAAGATATATTTCAGTTACATAACTAAAAGTTTCACGCAATAAATTGTCGGAATTTATTCGACAATTTATTGCGTGAAATTGTCACTCAATGGAAATTGCGTGAAATTGTCACTCAATGGAAAATGCCTTAAAAAAAATCTTATTTATATTTGCAACGCAAAAACTCACCAAGAAGAAGAAGGATATTTTTACGTTGGGCTTACTGAGAAAACTTTCAAAGACAGTTGGTATAAACATAAAAACTCCTTTGTTTATGAAAGTAAGGCCAACTCCACTGAACTTTGGAAATTTGTGTGGGAATGCAAAAATAAAGGTATAGAACCTATATTAAAATGGAATATCCTCAATCAGGCGGAGCCATTCAAACCTGGTGGTAAATTTTGCAAATTATGCTTGACAGAAAAATACCACATTATTACGTCGCCATTGAATTTGCTTAACAAACGAGCCGAGCTTGCGTCAAAATGCCGCCATGAAAATAAATTTCTAATAAAAAACTTTAATGTCATCAAAGTGGACACTCCATAGCATTTTTTGTATATAATTTTTGTCGTTACTTTTTATTGTTGTTACATCTGATGATCGCTATTGCGTGAAACTTTTAGTTATGTAATTGAAATATATCTTAATAATTATTTAGTTTTCACTATATATATATATATATATATATATATATATATATATATATATATATATATATATATATATATATATATATATATATATATATATATATATATATATATATATATATATATATATATATATATATATATATATATATATATATATATATATATATATATATATATATATATATATATATATATATATATATATATATATATATATATACAATACGAATGTGTGTTTGTGTTATATACAGTCATGTGCATGAAAATAGCAGTGACACAAAAAATTATAAAAAAACCTTATTAAATTTAATGATATGCGTAATTTCGGACCCTAATTGTTAATTTTTCATAATTAAGTGTTATCTGACACTATTTAGTCTAAAAAAAGCTTTTAAACTTAAATGGACAATATCATACTACCATTTTTTTAAAAAAGATACTTTTATCACATTTAATGAATGCAGATTTACCATTAAAAAAGTAAATAAAATATAACATTGATGAAAAACTATTTATTCATCTTTTGAAAATACATCTAATACTTAGTTCCATGACCCTTATTTTTCAATACTGCTTTACATCTTCGTGGCATTGACTCGATTAGATGACGACATCTTTCTAAGGGATTAGCTCTCCAAGCTGCTTCAACTGCTCTCCAGAGTTCCTCTTTATTGGCTGGTCTAGACAAAGATACTGCTCTTTTAACATCCCCCCACAGGTTTTCTATCGGGTTCAGGTCTGGGGATTATGCTGGCCAGTTCATTACCTCAACCTTATTCTCTACAAACCAATTTTTAGCTTTACGAGAGGTGTGTTTAGGATCATTATCCTGCATAAAGATCCACTTCAAAGACATTTCTTCTTTTGCATATGGTAACATGACTTCTTGCAGTATTTTAACATAAGCAGTTGCATCCATGATGTCTTTGATCCAAAAAATAGGGCCCAATCCAAACCAAGAAAAACAACCCCATGCCATCACCTGGCAGCCACCATGTTTTATTGTCTTGGTGGTATACTTTATATTATATTCTGTTCGTGGGGGTCTTCGTACAAACTTTTCGTGAATACCTGGATTAAATAAAACAATTTTAGTCTCATCACTCCAAAGAATATTACGCCATTTCGATGATGGCCATTCTTGATGCTTTTTAGCAAATGCGATTCGATTTTTAATCTGTCTCTTATTTAGAAGTGGAGTTTTTCTGGGCCTTCTGGCTTTTAAATTGGCTTTTATCAAACGTCTTCTCACTGTCGAGGACGATATTGGTAAATTTAATTCCGTTTTTATGGCTGTGGAACTCATAAAAGGATTTATCTTCGCACATCTAATAATTTTACGGTTCGTTTTCAATGACGTTTTAAATTTTCCCCCACGCAATTCCGCTTTTTGTGTCCATTTTTTGGCATTGGAAATCATTTTTGCAGAACATTGTTAAGCATCTTGGATGAATTTGTAAGTTTTACCATCTTTTAACATATTTAAAATTATTTGACGCTTCTCATTGGAACAATGTTTTGCTCTACCCATTTTAACTGTAATAAAATTGTGAAACTTAATAAAATATCGTTTAATTTTAATGAACAAACACTTACCTTAATGTATAAAAAAAATTGATGGTAAAAACAACTTTTAAGGCACTAATAGAAAATAAAATGTATATTCACTGCTATTATAACGCACAGTTAATAAAGCAAAATTTTATAATTTAATTTAAATTCTGATACATGTTTGTATAAACAGCAATATTGCCAACCTCTTTATATTTAAAAACCCTAACAGAAAATATTTAGAGAATAAAATATACAAAATTAACCATCAGTAAAAAAATTAAATGTATTTTATAAATAATTTTCTCCCACTGCTATTTTCATGCACATGACTGTATATATATATATATATATATATATATATATATATATATATATATATATATATATATATATATATATATATATATATATATATATATATATATATATATACAATACCAATGTGTGTTTGTGTTATATATATATATATATATATATATATATATATATATATATATATATATATATATATATATATATATATATATATACATATATATATATATATATATATATATATATATATATATATATATATATATGTATATATACATATATATATATATATATATATATATATATATATATATATTCATATATATATATATATATATATATATATATATATATATATATATATATATATATATATATATATATATATATATATATATATATATATATATATAACACAAACACACACACACATTCGTATAAATATGAGCTCAAAATAAATATGGAAGGAATATGTTATATGGGGCAGAAATGTGTTCAGGATGAAAAGTTATTTTATTTTCATAAAAATGTCATAAATAATTAAAATTAAAATTTTTTTTAAAAACACTGGGGAGTACATTATGCCCCATATTTCATACTCCATTATGCCCCATTGGTTGCACATTGCTAAAAACAGTGCCACATATAAGAAAAATTTACAAATTTCAAAATTCAAAAGTTTTAATAATATCCAATTCTATATGAGTTAAATTCAATGTAAGCTTCAGCATTTCACATGAAATAATAAATTACTGCATCATATAATATGACACGGTAAAATTACATTAAAGTTCTTTTGAAGTCATTTTTACTTTCAATAGCGTGCAAAAGTTTAAAAACACCTTCTTTTCTTCGCATAAATTTTCACAAATTTTCTCAAATAACCTGAAATTTTTACCGAATGTGCTCTATATTAGAGGTGTACCGGATACGATATCCGGCTGGATATCCGGTTAAAATACCAGATAATTTACTATCCGGTATCCGGCCGGATATATACTATATCCGGCCGGATATAACGGATAATACTTTATGCTGTTAAGTTCTGGTGTTATTATGAAGGGCGTTTGAACAAGTCTTCAACTAAAAAATTTGATTCCGAACAGCGAACGTTAAATGTTTTAATGATCGCTATTGTAATTACGTATCACTTAATGATCACAATCTTACGATCACTTATGATCAATTAATGGTCACAAGCCTATCTTCAATTTAAACTTCCCAGAGCTCAAAGAGGTTTGAAAAACTATTAAGAATTATTTAATGAATACATTTTTTTAGGGGAGGGTAATTTATCTTTTAAGTAGAAATTTAATTTTGAGAACTCTAAATCAAAATGGTTTACCGACACGCTGCTAAATGGGCTCTAACATGATGGTTTTAAAAGTCTCAGATATGACATTATCAAGCTTTGTGCAAACTCTAAACTTAAGTTTTTTATGCTTCCATAGAATGAAAGTGTTTTGCATCAAAAAATCATGGTAATTAGAGCTTGGGAACAAAAATAACCTTAGAGGTTATTTTCTCAACCACCTATCCCAAATGCAAGGGAAATCATTTAGTTATTTCATTACACTATCTAATACTCTAGCTAAATTCATCAATAGGTTTTAAATTTCATCAATTAATTTATGTTCCAAAGTTATGACCATGTTTAATTTATTACCCCTTTAATTTGGAGAGGGGTAAAAACACAGTCATAACTTTCCAACAATTTTTTTAAGATTTAAAATGATCGAAATTGAGAATTTAAAGAATTTGTTTTGCAAAAAAATTTCCTATCAAAATAATCAAAAATTTTTTTTTTTAATGTTTAAACTTTTTTTTTGCTTTTATTATATTTTTTTGAAATTTCATCATAAACTTTTTTTTTTTTTTTCTTTTTAGATATTTTGTTATAGATTTTTTCACTCAATAAATTGTCTTAGTTTAAAATAAAAATTTTGAAAAAAATTTTGGAGTAAAATTCATGAAAAAGATGGCCCAACCATGTACATATTTGCTGCCTGGACCTTGCCCTTACTTTGCATATTTGCCCTCTTGTCCCTACCCCTTATACACACTTGTACACTTTTAGATAATATTTAAACATTTTTAGATAATGTCGCCTCCCATACCTGCATACATACTTTATGAATGCCTCTTAAATCAAATTATTAAATTCAATGAAACAAAATGTTTTAGAAAGTTAATAATACTATCAAAGAACATAGCAAATAAAATTTCAACAAATGAGTAAATGCAAAGGGTCATTCTATTTTCCTCCCATTATGGTGAATAAACACAAGCATTTCTCCTGTTTTAGGCAATAACCTAGATCTCTTTTTCTCATAGATATTACCATATTCTGAGAACAATCTTTCAGAAAATATGGATGATGCAGGAGTGCATAGATGTTTTGAAGCAATTGTTTTTAAAAGAGGGAATCGTTCTTCTTGCATCCAGGTCTTTATTGGACAGAGTTTTCTGTCTACAAGTGGTTCAGAATAAAACCTTTTTTATTTGGTTTTGACAATGCAGGCATAGCAAGTCAAGCTACCATAGACGAGCAACAACAAAAGTTGCTTCATAAAGAGCGGGTATTTTGGAGATCTGTGTTGGAAAGGATACTGGACATTACCTTATTTCTTTCAGCAAGAAATCTTGCATTCCGTGGTTCAGACACGGCAATTGGTTCAAAGAGCAATGGAAATTTTCTTGGGGTGTTTGAATTACTGGCTAAGTACGATGCCGTCCTCAAGGAGCTTCTGTTAAGAATTCAGGACAAAAAAACAAACGCTCACTATTTGAGCAATGACACACAGAACGAGTTGATTAGATGTTTAGCGCAAGAGATTGAATCAGAAAACCTTTCTATGGTAAAAAAAGCAAAATACTACTCGGTTATTTTAGATTGCACGCCAGACGTTTTGCACAAAAAACAAATGAGCATAATTTTAAGATCAGTGACATGTACTTCTAGAGTAGGTATTAACATTTCCGAAAATTTCTTTGGATATCTCACAGCAAATGATACCACTGGAAAAGGGCTTTTGGATGCCTTTTTAAATCAGGCAAAAAAATGGGATCTAAATATTCTTGATTGTCGAGGCCAATCTTATGATAATGGTGCTAACATGAAAGGAAAACTTAAAGGTGTTCAAGCCAGGCTTCTAGAAATGAACCCAAAGGGCATATATGTTCCATGTGCAAATCATTCACTGAATTTTGTTAATGTTGATGGTGCACTGTATCTATCAGTGCAATATCTTTTTTTGGAGTCCTTACAAGATTGTATACCCTCTTTTCATCGTCTCCTCCTCGATGGGAAATTTTAAAATCGTATGTGGAAATTTCTGTCAAACCACAATCAGATACAAGATGGGAAAGTAAAATAAGCTGTGTTAAACCACTTCGCTATTATCTGAAAGAAGTTTTAGAGGCACTCTACAGATTGGAAAAACATGCCTTTGAAAAGAAAGATGGGGCAACAGCCACAGAAGTACCATCTCTGATTGAATATATTAGGACATGGCCTTTCTTATTATCAATCATTATTTGGTATGACGTTTTATTTCAAATCAACAAATCAAGTAAGCTTCTTCAGTCTTCTACAACCTCTCTTGACATATTGGCTAGTGAAATAAAAGCAACAAATACATTTCTTTATGAGTATCGTGAGACTGGATTTACTGACGCACATATTAAAGCTTGAGAAATTGCTGAAGAATTGGGCATTGAAAAGGTTTTTCCAACAGTGCGCTTACGAAAAAAAAAAAAATGTATTCATACGAGTGTGCTGATGAAACTTGGCAACCTGAGCATCAGTATAAAGCAGATTTCTTTTTGCCACTCATTGACATGTAAACTGCATCAGTAAAGGAGCGTTTTGAACAGGTCAGTATCTTCACAAATCTTTTTGAATTTCTTTACCGGTCTGGAGTCTTATCAAATCCTGTAATGAAAATTCTCTTACTGTATTTTGCACAAATTTGCAAACGAAGCTCGGTGATATAGATTCTGAGGATTTGGAAATGGAGTTGAAACGATTTGTCATAGTTGTACAAGAGGACAAAAATATAAACCTGAAATCTGCATATGACTTCCTTAACTACGTCTACAAAGAAGAGCTGCAGGAAACTTATCCTAATCTAGTTGTTGCGTTACGCATCATTCTTACTTCTCCAGTAACTGTTGCAAGTGCAGAACGTAGCTTTAGCAAGTTAAAATTAAAACTTTTTATAGGTCAGTATAAATACTCTTACTTCCTTATACGTAAACACATATAACTATACTTCTTTGTATCTTTATGTAGGTCAACAATGGTCGATGAACGTTTGTCTTCCCTAGCAATGCTGTCAATCGAGAACGAGGTGGCAAGGAAATTAAGTTATGAAGGCTTAATAAATAAGTTTGCAAGTATGAAAACACGACGCAAACCTTTTTTTTGACCTGTGAATGCCTAATACATTCACAGTAGTCAAAGAAACTTTTTGTTTTAAACTCTTAATAAATATAACAATTATAAAATATACTTAATTAAATTAAAGGGTTAATTTTATTGTTTTTTTTCTCGTGAACGACTACTTAAAAATATGTTCGGTGCATTATAAAAGATACGCCTTGCGCTTTTTGAAAAAAAAAAAAGTGTCAATTTAAACGCATTTAAAAAACTTTGGGGCCCTAATGGAATGTCTGGGGGGGGGCCCTAAAGCCACTAGCCACGGCACTGCTCACCAGTCAATTAATTTTTATTGTTTTTTTGAAAAGGCTTCCATGTAAAAGAAGAACGACCAAATCCTGATATGCGGATGAAAATAATAATACTTGATTACAACCTTTTAGATATATAGCGCGTATATCTTTTTAAATGGATAAACTACGATTATTTATTTAAATGCATTAGGCCTAGATTACTTTTTCGGGTTACATTATCAAGCTAAATAAGTTTATTCTTTTTGTAATATTACTTTGCTGCTGTGATATTTTAATAATAGTTTTATGATTTGTGTTTATGAATAAAATAAATTTATTTTATAAATAGTTTATAAATAGTTAATAAATAAAATAGTTTGTAAATTAACTTTATAGTTTATAAATTTAGTTTATAGTTATATATGCAGATGTAGTATTACTAGGAGGTTTTAATTTTCCAAACATTATCTGGAATAGTGGATATGTTGAGAGTGTATATAGCATTTACAATTCAATGGAGCACATATTTACTGATATAAATAACGACGAATTTTTATTTCAGCATGTTAATATTCCAACTTTTCAACTGTCAGAAACACAATTAAAAAACACACTGGATTTGATATTTACCAACGATAGTAACAGAATATATAAGCTACAATCACATGAAGTCCTGGGTTGTACAAACAAAGGGCACTTAGTATTGACATTTAAACTTGAACTAAACATTAAACAGAGTAGCAGAACATCAAAATATAAATTTGACTACACCAAAGGAGACTACACAAAAATAAATGAAAAAGTGAACTCAATTGACTGGAACTTCTGTTTTCATAAATTAAAAACACAACAAATGTATGATACTTGTATATTACACATAAACTATCTGAGTAATTTATATATATCAAAAATTGATGTTAATGCAAAACACAAACACAAGAGAAATCCATGGTTTAGCGATAACCTTTAAGCATTAGTAAGAATGAAAAAATATATCTAAGATACATAAATTTAGCAACCAAATGGAAAGATGCAGAAAATGTCAAAGCATCTAAAACAATAACAAAATTAGTATCAAAAGAAGCTGTATTAGCCAGAAAGGGCTATGAAAGAAACCTGATAATAAAATCAAAATCAAATCTGAAACTTCTTTATAAATATGTAAACAGTCAGAGGAATACAAAGCAACCAACTAAAGCTGTTTTAAACACTAATGACACTGTAACAAATAACCAAAATGAGCTTGCAGATGTTCTAAACAACCATTTTCATAACGCCTTTGTAAAGGAAAGCAACACAATGCCAGTGATAGCAAGGTGATGCAGTGTCAACATGGAGAAACGTATCAAGTGGTGTTCCACAGGGATCTATTTAGATGATGACTGTCAATTGAGGACGCTAATTTAGTTCAAAGAGATTTAAATAATATAAAAGTGTGGTCAGAAAAATGGTTAATCAAACTGAACGAGAGTAAATGTGTGGTTATGCATTACGGTAAAAACAACATAAAATTCAATTACACAGTTAATGGATAAGAAATTTACAACTCGAGAAATGAACGTGATCTTGGTGTAAACTTTGATACATCATTGAAATGAAAGAAACACATAGTAACATGTTCATCAAAAGCAAATGCAATAATGGGGATGATAAAAAACACCTTTGCTCATTTATATCATCATCTTGTCAAGCAATTATACACAACTTTTGTTAGACTGCTGATTGATTTGCAGCACCAGTTTGGTCTCCAAACTACAAAGGTAACATCGACATATTAGAAAAAGTGCAGCACAGAATGACAAGGATGGCAAAGGACATAAAAAGTCTGCAGTACCAATACCGTTTATAGACACTAAATTTAACAACAATGTCAGAAAGAAGACAAAGAGGAGATCTTATCCAAGTTTTAAAATTTTTAATAAAATCGAAAAAGTAGAACTTTTAAACAAACAAACTTTCTCAAAATCACACAGAGGTCACAATAAGAAATAAAATAGAGAACAAACCAAATTTATGTCAAGACACGAATTCCTTATAAACAGAACTGCAAATTTATGGAACGCATTACCATCAGAAGTCATCAATTCAACAAACGTAAATAATTTCAAAAACAAATTAGACGTCAAAAAATTAACTTATAAACTTTTTTTAAAAATTGTTTAAATTTTTCAAATTGAATTGTTGCATATTATCAAAAGCTGTCAAAGTGAGTTTTTAACTCACTCGCTGTTAATGCAGCTACAGTTTAACTACTATTACTATATTACTATTATAGTTTATAAATATAGTTTATAGTTATAAAAATAGTTTATAGTTTATAAACTTTATTTATAGTTTATAAACTTTAGTTTATAAATAAAAAAATTAATAGTTAATAAATAAAATGAATAAAATAAAATAAAAATGTGTTTATAAATAAAATAAAATAAATGTTTTTATAAATAAAATAAATTTACAAATAAAAATAATTTTTTTTATTGCCTTAGCTCTATGTGCTCATTTGTCTTAAACGCAAAACAACAAAAAAACATGTTATCCATTTTGATATAATTGCGAGTTATTAAACTGTTAAACATGTTATCCATTTTGATATAATTGCGAGTTATTATACTGTTCTAAACTTTTGCTCTTGAGCAAAAGTTTAGAACAGTATAATAACTCGCAATTATAACAGGCTTTTGTAAACAAAAGCATTATAAAAGGTAAAATTTTTTCTGAAATTTATTATTTGAATTAACTTGAGATATTTCAAAAGCAATGAAGTATAACTAACTGAGAAATTGTTTGTGAAATTTTATAATTTAATTACGTAGTGATATTTCAGGCGAAATAAAGAAATTAATTGTCAAAAATGTAGGGAAAAAAATGACTTATAAAAGGATTTCTGAACTTTACAATGTTTCTAAACCAGGAATATGTCACATTATGAAAAGGTTTCGTCAGCGCAAAATTATTGAAAGCAAGCCTCGCTCAGGAAGGCCTAAAGTTACAACTGAAAAGGCTGTTAAGTTATTAGTAAGTTATTGCAAGAATAATCCTCGCATGACTGCTGTCGAACTTAATTCAATTATGCATCAGTTTCAAGGCACAAACTGTATCGTTGATACAACTAAACGTCAATCACGACAAAATAATCTGTATGGCTGCCGTCCAGTTAAGAAACCTCTTATTTCGGTGAGAAACTTTTTTTTTTTTTTTTTTTTTTTTTTGTAGTTATTCTAGGTGCTCCCAGAAGTCCTTACGGTCTTATCATAGAGCACTGCGGGAGAGCATTTAACATGAAGTTTACGCCTCCTTGCGTACCAATGTCGCTTGTTGGCTAAAGCTGGCGTCGAACCTGGAACCTCTTGGTTCTGAGCCAGAACTGTAACCACTGCACCACGGCTGCTCTAAATTTAAGAACCAGAATAAAATTTGCTGGAGATCATCTCAGTTAGACAGTTAATAATTGGTCAAAAGTCCTTTTCTCCGATGAATCAAAGTTTATGCTATTCAGAAGTGACGGAATTAGATATGTTAGACGTCCAATAGGAGACAGATTTAATCCAAAATATTAGTTTCCTAAAATATTATGGTTTGGGGGTGTTTTAGTCGTGACAACCTGGGTCCCATTCATCGCATAGAAGGTATTATGGACCAGAGAGTTTATTTAGACATAATGAAGAGCATTATGCTGCCTCATGCAAAGGACAAAATGAATCGCAATTGGATCTTTCAACAAGGTAATGACCCAAAGCATTGTGCCATATCTGTTAAGGAATATTTTCAATCAAAAAAAAGTCAACGTTCTTGAATGGCCTTCGCAGAGCTCAGATCTCAATCCCATTGAGCATTCTTTGGGAGTACATTGACAGGCAGTTAGTTGGTAGAAAACCAACCAACAAAGACAATTTATTTGCTTTGATTAAAGAATGCTGGTATAATATTCCTCAGCATGTTCTCATTAATTTAGTTGATTCGATGCCTCGTCGCTGTAATGCTGTTTTAAAAGCAAATGGATGTCACCAAATACTAACTTTTTTTATTGAAACTATTTTATTAAAAATTTGTAAATTTTAAAAGTTTTAGTAAATATTTCAGTTTTATTGAAATAAATAATAATCCAAATTCAGCTGTTTCTAAACTTTTGCACGGGAGGCTTTTCAAAAAAACAATTAAAACCAATTGACCGGTGAGCTTTAAAATTTTCTTGAAATGAATTTTGAATTGTAATAATATAGAGAACATTTGGAAAAAATTTCAGGTTATTTGAGAAAGTTTGTGAAAAGTTGTGCGTTAAAAACTGAAAAAAAGTAGGTGTTTCTAAACTTTTGCACGCTACCGTATTTAAGACAAATTTTGCTAAAATAATAAACTAGTGCAATTGATGGTAGCATTTTGTCACATGATAATTCAAAATCAATCACTATTTAGTTGTTTCCACACTTAGAACACAGTCTATTTGCAAAAAACCATTTTGCCCCAGTACCCCATTTTGCACCAGTTTCCCCTATATATCATGATACATATCATGATATTTGTCATTGTATTTTTCATGATATATATAATTGTATATATCAGTGATCAAAAAGCAAGCAAATGATCAAACTTTAAAAAAAAAACACATAATGTAAGTTAATTAATCATAAGTTAAAATTATTCACCAATGACCTTTGAAAATTTAATGGGTGTTTATTATTAAAAAGAAAAAGGTTTTTGAAATTATGTCATGTTTCGTCTCAAATGAAGCAAAACTATATAAAAATTTCAAAAATAAAAGTTATTTAACAAAACAAAATTGCTTTAGATTTCACTACATAAAAGATAAGGTTTTTATAACTAAAAATAAAAAATATGCATTTTTGCAAGTTATTTTTCTAATTTTTTTATAAAATGGTTAATATTTTTAAATTTTTTATATAAATTTTTTTTTTAATTAAATTTTTTATATAAATTTTTTCTTCATTCGAGACCCAACATAACATTAAAAAAAAAAAAAAAATGATATGAGGGGTTTATTGAATTTTCAAAGGTTTTTGTGCACCTTAAGATAATTTCCTAGAGAATTGATAATTTTCCTTAGTATTTCTGTTATGAATGGACAACTTTTTCACATTAAGGCTAAATGATTTTAAAGTTCACCGCACACTACTTTATAAGTATAATATTTCGTTCTTAAATATTGTTTGTTTATACTTTGAAACTGTGTAGACATTTACATTTACATACATTTTTAAAATTGTTTAAAAATATATATATATATATATATATATATATATATATATATATATATATATATATATATATATATATATATATATATATATATATATATATATATATATATATATATATATATATATATATATAAAATACTTTATATTATAATATTGTTCAATATTGAGAATGTTATACATCCATATTATAAAATATTATGTTAAAACTTGCTTAACATTTGAAGAATATTCTAACGCTTATGTAATTTTTAATATTTGTAAATTTTCTACCTTTTAATTCGTTATATAGATTGTAAAGGGCTTCATGATACAATCATGTGATCTTCTGGAAGTCCTACCAGTAATATATTCAATGTAAATTTACCTTGTACATATATTTCTGGGAAAAAAACTTGTTAAATTAAAAAAAAAAAAAAAAATATATATATATATATATATATATATATATATATATATATATATATATATATATATATATATATATATATATATATATATATATATATATATATATATATATATATACTTTTTTAGTTATTAAAAGTCAAATAAGAATGATATTGATTTGAAATTTTCCAGAAATGTTAAAATACTATTATCAAGTTTAGTATACAAAATTTAAAGTATTCAAATCTTTAACTTGTTTGAAAAATCGTCTTAACCTAGCGTGACGGTCGTAACGCTTACTTTTTGACAATTCTAAACAAATCGGGATTTGACAATATTTATGCAGTCATCCGCGCGGTGAAAAAGAAAATCCTTTGCTGTGTGCATTCACTACATAATAATCTTGCTATATGCCAAGTTTTATAGTTTTTGCTTAATATTTTACAAGAATTTTATTATATTTTTTGTCGTGACGGTTGTAACCGTGACGGTCGTAACGAAAATGCCAATTGTGAAAAACAACTGAATACATGGCGCACTTAATAAATTCATTGCAATGAATGGCGTATAAAAGATAAGTGATTATAAAAAACAAGTAAGTTATGTTAAAATACACACTTTATAACATTATCACTGGGATAATATTACATTTATAATGGGTATAGTGATCCGGGTATGACAATGACTGGGTATGATCATATTACTTTTATTTGGATTAAGCAAAAAATGCTTAATGCCCTTTTATTCTCCTGTATACTATGACTATGGTTTAAATAATAAAATCGTTTTTTACTTGCGCTTAAACTTTATATAAAGTCAAGAAGCCGTTTTGGAAAAACAAACATATCGTGATGGTCGTAACGTGCCAAATAACGTTTTAAAAAGGTGATCTAAAGCACTTTAAAAAAAAAATTGAAACAATAATAAAATTTGTATTATCATCTTTACTTTAACCATAGTTGTAGTTTTAAAAAGTTTGATACGAAGCATAGAAAAAACTTTTAGACTTTTTTTCGGGACGGTCGTAACGTATTGTTTTCATAAATATATTTTTCTTATAGACCTAGTTAGAGTGCGTTTTTATAAAAAATATTATGAATAATGTTTAATTTATTCTTTAATTCAAACTTAGAAGTAATAGTTATTTAAAAAAACAGCACTGAAACCTTTTTCAACATTTCACAACAGGGCTTTATATAAACGTTAAAAAATGTTTATATAACCCTTACAACTTTATAACTATGTTGATATGATAAAAGAATTTTTTTTGATAATTTTTTTCTTAAAGATATTCTTGAATAGTTGAAAAATAAGTTTATTGAGGTTACTTTATGTTGGCGTAACATTTTTTTTTTTTCACGGCAATGGGTAATTTTTTCTTTAAACCATGAAAGTAAATAAAGTCAAATTTTTTCTGTAATAATCTTGTTTCTTTGAACAACTATAGGATCCATAATTGGCTTCTCTACTTCGACACTTTATAGTTTAACGGTTCATATTCAGAATTAATACCTCGGCAGTTACTTTATATTATTAAACTGAAAATTTATCAGTTATTGTAAAAAGTTATAAATATAAATAACATATTTTAAAAAAGTTTGATTTCCGCAAATGATTTTTAGACAAGGGTTTGTTGATCCATTTTTTTTTGTAAATTCTCTTAATGTTTTTGTAATACTTAGGACAAACTAAGAAAGTAGTGTTTTCAATGTATTCAATTTTTTTATCAAAACTTTACGTTTGTTATACTGTTATATTATTCAACAAATTAAAACTTTATTTTTTAGATTATAAGTGAACAGAAGCATAAGAAATGGTTGCAGAAAAGAAAATATACTTTCATTGCGTTTTCAATTCAAATGGTTATTATAGGAATGGAATGGAGTCTTACCATTGTAACATTATGGTCGTATATAAAAGAAATGATTATTACAAACAATCTAAAACTAATTTATGGTCTTGTTTCCGTGTCATACATGCTTGCATCTACTATAATAACACCGTTTATTGGAAGGTATGTTGATAGACGTCGAAACATCAATACTTGTTTTTTAATATGCAACATGTGGATGCTTATTGGCAATGTGATTTACAGCCTTCCCTTTTCACCTCTTTTTTTAATTGGAGGAAGAATTATTACTGGTTTTGGCGGAGCATTAAAACCTATTATTTACAGCGAAACGGTTCGAAATTACCCAACAAACGAAATAAGTTCAAAGTTGTCAATTTTATCAATGATGGTATATTTTGGATTCATGTTAGGCCCAGGCATAAATTTCTCTTTTAAAAATATTGACTTTTTTATAGGTCACTGGCATTTACAATACGCAAATTTTACTGGGCTTTTTATGGGTATTTATGTTTTATTATGGAAATTCTTACCATGACGATGGTGTATGATGTTTCTAAAGAGTTTGATTACAAAGCCATAGATAAAAGCAGTTTTTCAATCGATAAAACGAATGAATTTTATGTCGATGATATACTACCGTTATTAGAAAACGATAGTGAAAACAACGCAACAACCGTACTTAAAACAGCAGTTCTTCAACCAATAAATTCAAACCAGCACACTGTAATAAAGATTTTGAAAGTATTGTTTCTTAGCTTTGAATCAGCACTGCTTTTGTTTTCTAACTTTTTTCTAGCATTTTTTTTTATTAAAACAGATATTTGGCTACCGCTATTAATTATTGAAAAGATGCACCTCTCGGTGACGGAAATAAATATCTGTTTTTTTGGAGTAAGCGGAATCTGCGCTATTATATTATTACGAATTATACATAGACCGTTTTCTGATAAGAACATAATAATGATAATAATTTTAAGCTTAGTTGGCTTTTGCGCTGTTAGCGCAGGCTATATTATTCTTTCATATATTCCTAACAACAAAGCTTTGAACATTTTTATGAGTATCGTTTATATGACATGTAATGCAGGAACGCCTATAATTATAGATGTGTACTTTGTAAATACGCTTGCTAAAATGGTAAATTCAAATGTTCTGACATTTGTAGACAGTGTTCGATCTTCAAGCTTTACTGCTGGAGCATTATTGGCTTTTTCTTTCTCCGCGTTCATTTTTGATTATGTTGCAATATTTGGAACATTGTACATTGTCATAATGATAGTTATTGGAATCCTGTTTATTTGCAGAAAAAATTTTTTTATAAATCCTAAACTATTAATATAAGTTTTGTTGTGTTGTTATTGGATAAAACTTTGAATAACTTAAATAATTTGGGTAGGTTTAATAATTGCAAATAGAATTGCTGCGTGAACTATATATTATTTAAACCTTTATAGTTAGTGTAAAGTAACTAATTCTATATATATATATATATATATATATATATATATATATATATATATATATATATATATATATATATATATATATATATATATATATATATATATATATATATATATATATATATATATATATATATATATATATATAATAATTTATATATATATATATATATATATATATATATATATATATATATATATATAATAATTTATATATATATATATATATATATATATAATAATTTATATATATATATATATATATATATATATATATATATAATAATTTATATATATATATATATATATATATATAATAATTTATATATATATATATATATATATATATATATATATATATATATATATATATATATATATATATATATATATATACAGGGCCGCCAAGAGGGGGGGGCAATTGAAGTAGTTTGCCCCGGGCATCACAGTCTATGGGGCATCACATGCCTTAAAAAAAAATTATTGAAATGATAAAAAATTTAGCTGATAACGCATTTAAAGATTAAGCAATTTTTGTCTATTAATTTCTTTCTCCTTTTAAACTTTGTTTGCATTTAAATTAGGATAATTATTACTTTACAAGGTTTTCATTATCCATTTGAACGCACGCGTTTTCATTGGTCTTTTGTTCGCATGATAGAATAAAAAGCGTTAAAAAAAAATTTTCTTATTTAACGTTTGTAAAAGCCTGACTTCTGATAGTTTAACTTATTTTTGCTTAAACCTTGCGTCCCTGTGGATACTTTTGTGCATATGTATGTTTTTGACTCGCCTGCATTTTGTTCCGACTATATTTTGACAAGAAACTTATCTTCAGTGGATATTTTAATTGTAAGTACTGACTTTTTTTCTGCAATTAATAACACCAAAGTATTATAAAGTTTTTAATTTTTAAAATTTAAAAAGTTAAAACTCTTTATATCGTCATAAGTTTTAGCATGAATAATCAAAGACCTCCACGATTGAAACAGCTGTCTGGAGCTGCTGGGAGAAAAAGAGCGATGATTCGGAAAAAAAACGAAACCAAAAACAAACGAACGCTTTTAGATTGCGTTCGTTGGACAAAAATCGAAGATAAATGCAAGCAGGTAGTTAAACTATTTTTTAATCTTGTGACGTTCATGAAAAAATAATTAGAATAATTCTGTTTAATACTTCTTTACAGTTCAATGATATTGAGATCGGTATCAATGACTCTAATGAGTTGCCAGACCATAATTCCGACAAACTTTTTCTTGCCGATGACATCGATGACTCCCAAAAAACATCATCACATTTAAAAAAGGATCAGTTGGATTTTGTACTTGATTGTCACAATGACCAACAAATATATAAAAGTGATCTTTCTATACCAATCTCTAACGATCCTGCACTATGGAAATCAATATCAGACACTGACCGAACGAATATAATTCTGATGGGACCTTCTTCAAATCCTAGCAATTTTCCAAGAGATCAAAAAGAACGCAAATTCCCTACTTATATCTTTTTAGAAGAACAAAGAAACGGAAAAAAAGTTAAAAGAGATTGGCTCGTTTGGAGTAAGGCTGTAGCATCACTCTTTTGTTTCCCTTGCTCCCTTTTTGGATCGCCTAACTTAACCAGACCCGGTGTTCAATCCAGTTTGTTGTCTTGGAATGGAGGTATACATGGAAATCGGAGAAAACTTTCAGATCGCGTTAAAAGTCATCAACAAAGCGATTTTCACCGTAACTGTTATCTCTAATGGAAAACAGCTACGATTCACTTGAAAAGTCAAAAGTCCATTGAACATCAGTTAGAAAAACAAATTGGAGATGAAACAAAGCGATGGAAAGTAATTTTACAATGCATTCTTGACGTCACAATTTTTCTAGCTTCAAGAAACTTAGCTTTTAGGGGTAAGAATATTGTTTTTAAATTTTAAATTATATTTTGCATTATTTTATTTGTAATTTAAAAATCAAAATTACAAGTTTTAATTGGATATAAATATGGATTACTATTTTGATTATTTTTTGTTTGTAATTAGGATCCAATCAAAAGTTGTTCAAAAATGGGAATGGAAACTTCCTTGGAGCGCTCGAATTAATTGCTCGCCACAACAAAACATTACAAGATCATATGCATCTTATTGCTTAGCACCAAGAAGAAGAAAAACGCATGCAAGCTCATTATTTATCTTGGAAATCACAAAATGAATTTATCAAGGAATGCGGCAAATTAGTGGTTCGAGAAGTTATTCGAGAAATCAAAAAACCAATATATTTCACCATCATCACGGACAGCACTCCCGATTCGTCCCACAGCGAGCAAATAACTTTTGTTTTTCGTTTTTTGCATTTCAATGATAATCAGCTGTGGGAGGTCAAAGAAAGATTCCTTAAGCTAGAAGAACTTGAAAAGAAGAAGGGATCTGATATAACAAAGCTGATATTGAATGTGTTGGAAGAGAATGAGCTCGACATAAAAAATTGTCGTGGTCAAGGCTACGGCAACGGCGCTAATATGGCAGATATTTACAATGGAGTTCAAGCTTTGATAAGACAGAATAATCCACAAGCAATTTTCATTCCTTGCTCTGCTCACAGTTTGAACTTATGTGCAGTACACGCTATTGAATCATCGGCTCCTACAAAATCCTATTTTGGAAATATTCAAAAGCTATACAATCTGTTCAGCAGCAGCCCAGTTCGTTGGAAAATTCTTCAGGAGGAGACAGGCCAATCATTACATAAACTTTCTGTTACACGATGGAGTTCAAGGATTGAATCAGTTAAGCCACTAGCAAAAAAGCCAAGAGAGATCTTGAAATCATTACATCGTCTAAAAGAGTTAGACCTTCCAGGCGAAAGTAGTAATGAAGTGCATTATCTCATTAAATGGATGAATTCTTTTGAATTTGTTGTTTTCACTACTTTTTGGTTTAAATGTTTGATGGCAGTTAACAACGTGAGTCTTCTGCTTCAATCCACTCAACTCACTCTTGATGATGAAGTAAAGATTCTAAATGGCCTTTTGATGGATCTGGATCAAATATGTCTGTCTTGGGACCTGATTTTGATAGAGGCAGCAGAAGTTGCAAAGAACTTGAAATTTGATAAAATAATGTTTACTGTGAAGAGAACGCGAAAAAAGATCATCTCAGATGAAACTGCTAGTTACAACCACGAAGAAGCATCAAAAAACTTTGAGTGTAATGTCTTCAATGTTGCACTCGACAATCTGACTAGTCAAATGAGATCAAGATTTAAAGTAATAGAAGAGGAATGTAGCAAGTTTTCCTTCCTTTGGTCTTTACAGAAATCTCAAACAGACCAAGAACTAGGTTTAAAAGCTGAGAATCTGGCTAAACTTTACCCAGAAGACTTATGTAAAAACGAATTTTCTGATGAAGTTCGGCATTTTTTTTCCGTAAGAAGAAATATTCTAGCCAGCGAAAAGCCTGTCGAACTTCTAAATGAAGTTTATGCAAAGGGGCTGCATTCAATATTTCCGCAAGTGTGTGTTTCTCTTGGAATCTTTCTAACATTGCCCGTTTCAGCATCTGAAGGAGAAAGATCTTTCAGCAAGTTAGCTATCAACAAAGATTATCTTCGTTCCACAATGGGCCAGGAGCGATTGCGCTACTTGATGATCCTTTCAATCGAATCAGATTTAGCCATTAACGTTAACTATGAAGAAGTTATTTCAAATTTTGCTGCTAAGAAGGCCAGGAAGATGTGTTTGTCAATTAAGAATTGATTTTATCATAGTTTGTTCTTGCAAACCAAAATTAAAAGTGATTTTAAGTTTTTTATGAAAGTAAACTATATTAATTTATTTGCTATTTTAAGACCTGAAGTATGATAGGGCATCCATTAAACTTTTGGACCCGGGCATCACGAAAGCTCTGGGCGGGCCTGTATGTATATGTATAAATATATATATATATATATATATATATATATATATATATATATATATATATATATATATATATATATATATATATATATATACATATATATATATATATATATATATATATATATATATATATATATATATATATATATATATATATATATATATATATACATATATATATATATATGTATATATATATATATATATTTATATATATATATATATATATATATATATATATATATATATATATATATATATATATATATATATATATCTTTATTCAAATCAAGTGTGACTACTATACCAAAAGACTGTAGAACAGACCAATCAAGTAAGATGTCTATATATATATATATATATATATATATATATATATATATATATATATATATATATATATATATATATATATATATATATATATATTGTTTTTTTTATCGCTTCCAACAAGGCTGCAAGCAACCACTAATTAGTGTTGGATGTTACTGAAAGAGAAAAGTTGAAGATTGTAGAGCGAGATAGCGATTGACAGACGACTTAAAAGATTGCTAATTGTATGAATCATGAAAGCAAGATGAAGGAAGCGAATTCCAAAGAACTTACGTTCGAGAAAAAAAAAATAGTCGAGTAAGAGTTTTTGGAGCACTTAGGAACAGTAACAGAAAAAGGATGAGACTTAATTGAATGACGAGTAACACGAGAATGAATTTAAGTAGATGGCACAAGAGACGTTAGCTCTTTAGAGCAGTGTCCATTATAGTATTTGTAGAAAAGAGAAAGAGAAGCAACATTACGACAATGTGACAGAGGTTGAAGGTTGGCTGCAAGAGCAGGTCCAACTATGTTTACAATGCGTTTTTGCACCTTGTCTAAAAGAGAAAGGGCATCATTAGAAGATTCGCCCCAGATAAAAAATTGAGTTTTATCTGAATTAAAGTTCACCAGCCACTGTGAGCCCCATGCTGCAGAAGTGAGATCCTTTTCAAGCTCAGATACCCCTTGCAAGCAATCAGAGAGAGTTGGCTTCTTATCGTGACAAGAATAAATGGTAGTATCATCAGTGAACAGTGCCACCTTAGATGTGAGAATATCTGGAAGATTGTTAATGTAAATTAAAAATAGTATAGGGCCAAGGATTGAACGTTGAGGAACCCCTGAGGTTACAGAATAAAAAGAAGAGTGCTGTCCATCAAGGACAACTTTTATACTACAATTGGAAAGGAAGGATTCACTAATCTTAAAGATGTTTCCAGATACACCGTAAGAAGAAAGCTTATGGAGAAGACCAGCATGCCAAACTTTATCAAACGCTTTAGAAATGTCAAGAGCGATGGCCTTAACCACTTCACCTTTATCCAATGTGCGATAAAACCTATCGGTTATTACTGATAGTAAATCAGCCGTAGAACGAGATGATCGAAATCCATATTGATGATCAGAAAGTAGGTTATGAGATTCGAGATGAGAGATTAAGTGTTTGTTAATTAAAGATTCAAAAACCTTGCCTATGATAGGAAGAAGACTAATGGGACGGTAGTTAGACGAATCGGATCATTCTCCAGAATTTTTAAAAATAGGGATAACAGAAGACTCTGATAAGCACTTGTTAAATAGTTTTGAAAGGACAGACGACAGCTCCGGAGAACACTTCTGCAAGACTATAATGGGTATGTTGTCCGGGCCGCAAGCTGTGAAGAGTCTAAGCAGGAAACCACTTTAGATACAGAAGCCAGAGTGATACGGATGTCGAGCCATGGATCAACCTGTTTGACGGCTATATCAGGTAGAACGCAACTAGTGGAATCAAGAGATGATATTGATGAAAAGTTCTTGGCAAGCAATTCAGCTTTGTCTTTAGGTGAGGTGACAAAGTCTGAACCATACAAAAGAGGTGGAATTACAAACTTGCCTTTATTATTGATTCTATTAAAGATTCTCCAGAAGTCACGAGAGCCTAATTTTTGTAATGAAATACGAGATTTCATGGTTTAAGAATAGCGGGCTTTGGCGTTAGACAAAACCTTTTTACAATGGTTCCCAGCAGTAATAAACAGACGTCTGTTTTCTGGAGAATTGTTTTGCTGATAGATATGGAAGTAATGGTTTCGATTGGCAATTGCAGCAGCACAATGTGAGGAAAACCATGGAGAAGTGTGAGGCTTGACCTGAATTCGTCGAGTGGGAATAAAGAATTCCATGCCAGCCTGAATCCACGAAGTTATGTAAGAAGCACATTTGTCAACAGGAAGACAAAAGATTTCTACCCTGGGGCCATCACGAAGAAAATCACGGACAGAATCCCAGTCAGCTTTAAGGTAGTTGTTAGATGTACAATGATAGGGAGATTCTGATGGTAAAGAAAAATGAGATAATAGTTTTAGAGAGACCAAACTATGATCAGAAGCACCTAAGGGTGAGTGTGGAGAAACTGAGCACTGACTAGGATCAGAAACAAGACATAAATCGAGTAGAGAAGGTAAATGATTCGGGTTGTCTGGAAAGCGAGTTGGAAAGTTGACTATTTGAGTTAGGGATTGAGAAAGGCAAAAGTTGTGGGCCTTAATGCCTGCAGAGCCACTGACACTAGAGCCATGGCATTCAGTGTGATGAACATTAAAGTCACCGACAACAAAAATATTGGCCGATGGATAAAGAATGAGGGTTTATAATCAATATAATATATTATGGTCAATATAATCAGAAATAACATCAAGAAGGGTGCAGTCTTGAGATGAAGGAAAGCGATATAGAGCAAAGAGAAAGTTGATAGAGTGAAGTGGTGCTAAACGAAAGCACATAAAAGAGTACTCTGTGGATTCAAACCTAGTTTCCCGACAAATGGGTGAATTCTTACAAATGTAAATGCCCAGGCCAAGCATAAGACTATTGGAGTCTTTACGAATTAAAGGAAGATAACCATCAACACTAAGATCACAAGATGAGACAGAAGAACTCAAATTAGTCTCACAAAGAGCATGTAGGTCTGGTGAACTTTGCAAAAGATAAGACTCAACAAAAGAAAAGTTACTTTGAAGACCACGAATATTGGTGAATGATAGGTTTAGCAAACTTGGTGATGACTGTTGTTTTTTATGTTTTATAGTTTTTGTTACTTTATTCATTTTTAAATTTGTTAAAGAACTTGACTCGAAACGTAGATAGTACTCAGAACACTGTTTTATAGCCCAAGCAATTGCCTCATTTCCACTAATAAACCCTAAGCCGTATCAAAGAGCTCCAATGTGGCCTTGGCAATGCACACCAAAAGTACAAACAGGGACACCATCCATGCGCAACATGGCACTGTTAGTACTCTGATATTTTTCAGCTGTTGATGGAATCAGCCTCTCTGAGAGCTACCACAAAGTTCGGGAAACCTGACTACCAGCCGGCCTCAGAACCA